CCCATCCCTCTGAGCCGGCTGCTTTCTCCACCACAACACGGAGCGATTTGCAGCGTGGCTGCTCGCGGTCGGGCCGAGATCAAAGCTTGTTTTTAAGGGACGGTAAACACCGCGTGGACTTAGAGCTGGGACCCAGAGACCAGGGGACAGGAGGGAGGCCCAGCGAGAACCAATCCCCAGATGAACCGGGGTTTGGCCCAGGGTGGACAGCGGGGTGGGATGGGGAGGGATGGGGAGGGATGGGGTTCGCGGGGCTGACAAAAATCAGGGGCCGGGCCAGAGTCACTCAGGCCTTCAGGACCCACCTCACACCAGACCCGGCGCTAACTGCTGATGGGTTTGTAAAAGACAAATGAGAAGCAAGGTATTAAAATGATGAGTAAGCGGGCGCGGGAATGTCCGATGGCGACGGGGAGGGCTGACCTGGAAACACACGTCACGCAGGGAAAGGACGAGCACCTGGACCACATCCGAGCGTAGAACTTCCCTTTCCCCCCTGTTCATCCTCACCGGAGGGTCTATTTTTCCGTTGATTTTTTTTTAGAGAAAGTGGGAGGGGAGGGGAGAGAGAGACACGGATGTAAGATAGACACATCGACGGCTGCCTCCCGCACACGCCCCAACTGGGGCCGGGGATCAAACCTGCGATCCAGGTACGTGCCCCTGACTGGGAATCGAACCCGAGACCCTTCAGTGCGGGGACCGGTGCTCTAACTACTGAGCAACCAGCCAGGGCCCAATGTAAACCTTTAGGACAGAGAGCTACGCGGTCAGCCAGGCCAGGTCGAAGCGGATCCCGGGCGAACGCAGAGCGTCTGCGAATCAGCAAGAAGCCAACGGCCCCTCGGCCCCTCGTCAGGAGCGTGGAGACGGGGAAGCTCAGGAAGTGGGGGGCGGAGTGGCCGAGGACCCGGAAGGTGCTCTGGATCAGAGAAAACCGAGTCCAAACGAGAGGGCCTTTGCCGCCCGTGGGCCGGGCCTGGCGTAACCAGACAGCACTGCCGGTGCGGACAGGGTCCAGGGAGTCCCCCAACCACCCGCCTCCCGTGCCCCTGGATGACAGCGTGGGCCACCCCTCGGGGAACAATCAGGGAGAGGCATGAAGGTTAACTCTGGGGAGCCAGATGGCAGCAGGGTCCCCGTCTGCTAAGTGGTCAGTCTCATTTGAAACCGTCACCCTTGCCCGCCCGGCGTGGCTCAGGGGTTCAGCGCTGACCTATGAACCAGGAGGTCACGGTTTGGTCCCATCAGGGCACAGGCCCAGGTTGCTGGCTCCATCCCCAGTGTGGGGTGTGCAGGAGGCAGCCGATCGCTGATTCTCTCTCCTCATCGATGTTTCTATCTCTCCCTCCCTCTCTCCCTAAAGTCAATAAAAAGCATATTTTTTCAAACATCGTCCTGCCTGCCTTTTTGCTACCCCCCTCCCCGCCCCCAGCGCAGAGCCCCCCTCGGGCCCTGGAGAAAATGCCCGGATGAACCGAAGCCCAGGGCACCCTGCCCCGGTGCCGTCGCCCTCGAACCCGAGCACTTGCCTGAGAATGGCTTTTGCCCCCGTGATCCCCAATGCTCAGGGGGTGGGGGAGGCGGGGGGACCCCTCCGGTCACACTGGGACTTCCGAGGCCCCACTGCTGGGCACCTGGACCCTCCCGAGGTGCTCGGGGGCCTGCGGGACCTGTCTCCTGAGGACCCCCCTCGGTCGCTGCATCGGGAGCGTGGAGAGCTGCTCTCCCCTTGGGCCACGTTGCCTCCTCCGGGTCCCCCAGCCCCGCACGTGGACCCCTCGCTGGTGTCTGAACACAACCTCTTCCTTCCCAGGAGCCGCCTGGTGACAGCC